TTTCTCTGTGCAAAAATATATTTCTTTTTTTCTAATCTTAATCTGACTTTTCTAAATATAATAAAATTCTCTTTTATATATTTCGTTCGTAGTGAAAATTTATAATTTAATTAAAAAAATGTAGATGATTTTATCTATTGGCATTGAAAATTGCAAACGATGTGTAATATTTGATAAAAAATATTATTTTCTTTAAGCAATTTAGGTTAGGTATCAAATGAAAAATAAATACGATTCAATGATTATAAGAATTAGATATATGAAAAATACAAAAGAATGATTTAAAAATATGATTATTATGATTATTATGATATAAATCTAATTTAATAAAAATTTAATTTAATAATTTAAATATCTTTAAATATGTTTCTATTATTATATGAATATAAATAAATATAAAATCATTTTTTGTGTATAATTATATTTTAATAATATATTTTAATATTTTAATAATAAATATTTTAATTTTCTAAAACAGAAATTACAATTAATTTTTGGTATTAGGCAAAATTATAATTTCAATAGTATATCTTGAATAACTTTGCTATAAAACGAAATTGTTTTATCATTAAATAATAGAGAATAGATATATATAGAATCGATGTTAGAATAAATGTATAATATTATTATATTAAAATTCTTATTATAAATATAATGTAAATAAATTTTTAAAATTTATCATGTAAAATGAAAATATTACTTTTGATTTTAGTTATTTTAATTATAATGCTACTAGTCAAGACTATTTTATATAAAAAAATAAAATATATAGCTGGACTCTTTTGCATAATTAAATTAATATTATTAACGAAGTTTTACAAATTATTACACTATAATAAATTCTTTTATAAAGAGAAACTCTTTAATAATTCTACAATTAAATTTTATAAATTATAAACTAGTTAATAACAATTATAAATACATTGTAAAAATTAATTTAAAATAATAAAAAATTATATACCTATTACTTGTTATTTGTCAATTTATTAAATTATCGCACATAAAAATTTATAAATAATCTTTATTGATATATAATATAATGTATACTGAATAAATAAAAAATAAATATACAATTCAACAAAGATATTTTTTAAAATAATATTTATGCATACATCCCGATTTATTTTATGAATAATATCAAATATTATTATTTTTAAAATTAACAGATTTTTTTTTAGATTTTATTGCATTTTTATTCTGTTTGTATTAATAGGTCTGGTTTCAAAATAGAAGAGCAAAATATCGGAAGCAAGAAAAACAACTTCAGAAGGCTTTGACTCCAATTCCTGCTTGTCAAGGTGCTATGATGAGGAATATATATCCTGGTGCTAGCAGAGGTTATCAACCGTATCCTCATCCTCATAATAGCATAAATGGAATAAATCGTTATCCTCAGGCAAGTCATTTTTTATTTATTTACTTTTAAATTAATTTTTATTTTAATTTTATATTAAATTAATTTTTATATTAATTTCATTATAACCACCATATTTGTTTTAATTAATTAACATTTTTGTATTATTGTAATATCGTACATTAATATTTCTCTTTATTTTTTAAATAATAAATAATTTTAAAATTTTATATTTTATGTAAAACTATTATAAATTTTAAAAAATTGCTTTATGTATAATCTATTATGTTCTAAATATAAACTTTAATAAAATCAAAATTTTCGATTAAATTGAATTTCTTCATGTATAAAGTACGATAAACGGATAATAACGGATAAATTTTACTGTATCCAGTAAAATATGAATATTTCAAGATGTTAATCCATTGTTATGTTCCAATCGTGATATATGTGTATTAATTAAATAAAAAAAAAAGGAAAAAAAGAAAAAAATTCGTTAACGGTGACAATCGATGCATCACGCCTAACAAGCAACGTATCGTATCTCTACGAATGAATTCGATGCGTTTCTCGTTAATGATTTTAACCGAGGTATTAAATTGAAGTGCACCTGAGCGTCCGGCGCATCGCTATCGGTCGATGTAGCTAAATTGCATTTCGACTGATTAGTTGGGTCGGACGGATTACCGAATGCCTACCGGTTTAATTAAGCCAATAATTCGTCGAGCGTATCGGTTTGCCAATAAAAAAGCTTCGAGATCCTCTTAATCGATCTTCGAAGTCACGTTTGAAATACCGGAATAAAATTATTCGATGATATTCACTGTAATATTTGTTTGATTTGTGTAATTTTTATCGATTAATTCTAATCATTATTTGTATATTTATAAGTTTTTAAGTGATTGGATATTTATTAATTTTAAACATAACCTTATCAATCGTGTTAATATAAATTTGTTTTTTGTAATAGTTATAAAGTTCTAAGTATTTGTTTAGTATAAAATTTTATGATTGATCTTGATTATATTGATTTTAAATATTAAATTTAAAAAAATGATATATATAAATTATATTTTTTTAAAATAAGAAAAATTTTTAAATTTGAATAATAGATTAATATGCATTATTTAATATTTTTATTAAAATATTTTAAAGTATTTTTTATTTATTTCTCTTTGAAAATTTTTTTATATTTTTATATATAATTATATATAATTATTTTATATATATTACGAAACCAACTATTAATATTTATATTCATAAATTTTAATTATTAAAAATCATTAATTATTAAAAATCATTTGATATCATTAAATAAATAATATTTGATATTATAAATGAATGTTGCTAAATGATCAAAAATTTTTAAATACACTCGTACATATTATTCACTTCGATCTTAATGAATAGTATATTCTCTTAAATGATTTAATGGAACATTTTATCGTATTACCTTCGTGTAATGAATAACTAATTTACATATAAATTTATGTTTATAGATGGGCACGACGTCCTATCCAAGTATGACCCAGCCATTTTCTATGTCACATTCAGCGTCAAATATGTCTGCAGTTACTGGTATGAGACAAGATGCAATGGGTAAGTGTGTGTCATCTTTATCTATATATTATTAAAGTAATTATTACACATATTTAATCCATTAATCAGTTTTATTAACTAATAAATTTTATAACATAATATTTTATTATATATTATATATTATATTGTATAATTCCAAATATCATATATTAATTAAGAGATCTTATTGAAAAATATTCAATATAAAAACATAAAGAGAAATAATAATTCAAATGTAACTATCGATATCGTTATCGATAAAAAATAAAAATAACTGTTCTAATTCTTATTCTTTTTTATTCGAA